TAACAAGATACCATTGGTTGTTAAAACAAAAAGCTTTCTTCACTCCGCTTATGGAGATAATGCGGCTTACACCCGACTCTAAAAACGGCATACGAGAATCCATTTATAACACAACCGCATCGCAATTGTAGGTGAAAAATAGACTAAAATTTCGGAAAAGAGAGAGCGTAAAAACAATTTTTATCAAAAATTAGTTATTTATGTAGTTGAATTAAATTTTCATGCGTATTAAAAATTTTGTTATGAGCTAAAAGTAACTTTTCTAAAAAACATGAAACTAAATATTTAAAAGGTTTTCGTTTTTCACTCTTCCAAAGTTTAGTTTCTAAGCCCTTTCAACTTTGAATCGATATAGTTGCTCGAAAATACTTGTATCACGTTGAAACCGAGCATTCTGCTTTAAACAGTTTAGCTTACTGCAATAGGTACATATTATTTTTCCAAGCAAGGGAATATCTCTTCGTACGGTGGGACATAAAGGTAAATAAAATTAATAATAAATAAATAAAAATTAACATGTATTTTTGAAATTATTTAAAAATACTTCACGTGACACATTATCTTAGGCCACTATATTATATAAACAATTTGTTTAAACTGCATACAACTGATTCAGACTTCTGATTATCGCAACAGGACTAAAATAAAGTCACACTACAGGAGTTCATCAAGGAGCATAACTATGCCATAACAAATTTTAAACTGTACATTTTAAATTTTTTTATGTTTTTGAAACCGGTAAATGGTCAGACAGTCTACCTGATGGAAAATTGTATCCGTCGCGTGCGATACTAAGGGTCGTATTCTAGAACTCTACTCAATGCTCAAGTCAGGATTTGAGTATGGTTTAAAGCACTCGAAATCGTACTCAAGTCCTTGCCATTAGGGTCGTATTTCCAGTGCTTGTGTTTCAATTGCAATCCTTCCAAATCCAATGACTTGAGCATTGAGTAGAGTTCTGGAATACGACCTTAAGAATGCTATAGATAAATCGCGTAAGGTTCGACCTCCTGATGGTATGCGGGATTAAAGCTACCTATGATATCATATTTGGATGAAAGTTTGACTTAGTTTATTAAGTTTTCTATCTAAGTTTATGGTCTCGTTATTTTTATAATGAAAAATAATACCTTTATAAATAATCGTCGATCACTTATGTTGATTATAGTACTTATGGAAGTAACGGTATTTTGTTTTTAAATTTATGTACTTTATTATTTTTATATATTTCTCTCTCATTATCTCTTGCAAGTTGTTGCCCGCTTTTAACTTTAGCTCTCACTGCCCTGGGTTGACTGACAGTGGTCTCTTTTAGAGATAAATCTACCTTTGCTCACCTTCTGTTAAATTAATATTTCTGTTGTATTTATTTGGTGCAATAAAAAAATATATTAATAATAAGAGTTGTAATAAAACTATGAATAGCGTGTATTATATTCTGGTGTAGTAAGTTAGGCCGCGTTCCCCAAACTACCAGGAGGGTCAAGCTTAGGTTTACATATAATGTGTTGCTGCAGTGGGACATAAGTTGTTAAGTTAAAAATAAACAAAATATTTCCACATCAATAGCTTCCATGTTTTTATATTAATATTGAGAGAGCTCACCAAGGGTCGGTATTCTGTCCAATACTATTTTACCAGTAAAATAAATAAAAAGAATCATATCCATCGCAAGAATCAGAAGTCAGTAAACGAATAAATATAAATAACTATAAATAATTCTACCTTTGCCTACTACGGTTGAACATATAACTGATCTATGAAACAACGAGGATTGGTTCCAAAACACTATACTACATACAATGTAACGTTATTGTGCCAATTTGATTAGGAAACTATTTATATCGTTGAACGTTGTATTTTTGTGATAATCACAAGAAAATATTACACATTTCTCCATCTACTTGTCCAGGCAAAAGAACGAAAAAAAAAACATCTGCGAATTTGATAAAAACTAACCTTATTTTTATGACACATAAGAATGTTAACTATAATGTTAAGTATAGTAAAAAAATAAATCTTATTAAAAGATAATATTATTTCATTAATTCAACGAACCAGGAGGGTTCATCTCGCAATGTTTCGACCCCTATTCAAATGGGCACAAGACAATAATTACGAACATTTAGCTATACAAAATAAATGACTAGAGTTAGAACCTATGAAAAGTTACACTTACCTACAAGTACGGAACAGTAAAATTCTCTAAGTATAACTGAAATATAATTTTATTTCCATATTGATCTATCATTTCAATACTTGACTATTTTTATATAATGACTTAATTTATTAGCTGACATCTATTCAAACATCCTCTGAAATGGCACAACATAAACAACTTTTTAAACAGGAGAATCAATTAATTAAATTTTCTTAATTGCGCACTAAAACTTACAATAGCAACACAGAACAGTAACTCGCTAAATGTTTACCGCCGCGTTCAAGGTTTATTATCGCATGCAGTTTATTTATTCTTATGTATATAAACAGCATATAAATATATATATACTATAGGAAAAAGATAATTAATATTATTCTTATTATATATCACTTTCCATGTTATAACTTTTATATATTACTTTCTATTTCGCTAATATTTCGACTGAAAGACTTGAATCCAAGGTCACTATATAAAAAAAAATTAAGATAACATAGAACGAAGTACGAAAATTTACTGCAGTGAGCAGTATCAACAGGTAACTGAATATTATGCGATTTCAGGATGACCACATAGTAAATGTTAGGTTTCATGTACCCTTAGGTAGTAAAGAACGTCAACTAATAAATTAGGACCTTATATATCCAATGTAAAGTGAACGAGAAGTGGATTTATAACTTTCTTAAAAATTCAGTTGAAACGTGGACCAAAAAAAAAATAACTGGCTTGCAAATTAATATGTACAACTGTTGTACAAAACAAATAATTTCAATCCGAGTCCCCGTCACACTGTTATGCACTAAAATACTATCAGCAAAGTTGTAAGCCTTCCCAGTCCCTTGTTTTATATTTTATGTTATATTTCAAAAATAAGTGTCCTTGTGTTGTATTCAAAAAAATGTAATCATGACAGCGTTTTCAAAAAAATCAGTGTCAAATCAATCAGGCACAATCAGTGAAACATATACGCTCCTGGTATTATTTATAGTAATGAATCTATTATTTTCGTAAATATTTCGGCCAGGGTACGCTGGCCGTGATCACGGGCTGACACGTTGAAATGTCGGGATAATAAATACGTGTGCCTATTAATATATTTAAACACGTTTATTCTTATTTTGAAATGTTAGTAAAATTAGTGCAATCGTGAACGTTCCCTTTAAAGGTAATTTATTTCTAGCAGCGGCACGCACATTGATGGTATGAGTCGAAACTTCCGCTACGTTTTCATAAAATGATTCACTTGTCCGTCATGCCAGTCCATAGTGAGTTCGACTTCGCAAACTATCGAACAATATAATTAATTAAGAATTATGCATCCAAACTTTCGTTCACATTACAATGACAATTAAGTTGTTAATTAAATACAAATGATACATAGTTTTAAGGTACAGTCAAATAAGAAAGCAGCTGATCAACTAGAGATTTTCATAACTTCATAACCCTAAATAAATAGGAAGTTTAGTCGGTTTATTTTATCAGTGTTTGTTTCTTAGGTTTTGATTTTATGAAAAAAATGTAGATGATCAGCAATTTTTTTAATTGAGTATACAGTATGCTCTCGTGGGAGCACAGTTGGCGTTATACGCCGCCGTGAAGCTCTGATGCTTATCAATATTTGTTGTATACTCTAGTTTGACACCCGTTTGGTATACAGACCACATTACGCAGATACTCAAATACCGAACCTGTCAAACTGATCTGTCGTAATTTGTATTCTTTAAGTGCAAAATAAGTCTTAATTTTGGATAAAGCATTTAAAAATAATTAGACTTTGGTAGTTTGTCGCCGGTTGTTTCGTTTATTTGTTTATCTGCATAGATGAGCTATTTTTTTTTTTCATTATGCACAGTGAACGAAAGAAGAACCATGTAATTTTATTAATGGCCAAGGGTAATTGGTTAGTCAAGCCATATTACAAACCTGTAATGGCTTGCCTAAGTCATCTATTCTCCAAGTTGACGGTGGGAATTGAACCAAAAATAATCTGGATACACATGATGACGTAGATATAGGTTACATTCTTCAAACCGTGACAATTATGTCTGTTAAGTCGTATTGTCGTACTTATTCTTAGTTCTAACCCTGATCGAAACTCAAGTCAGCAGGTCATCCTTAGTGGGTAAACGACCGTAAATATGGATTTCGTGCTTCGAGATTAAGGCCTCAGAACATTACTTTCCCATTTTAGACGCCCCGGGAATAGAACCCAGCACCTCATCTAGCGTCCAAAATGTAAAACGCTGACCCAGTGGCACCTTTGTATTTAATTTTAACATTTATGGTTTTTATATTTTAAACTGAAACTTAAGGCAAGTATGGTCTACTTTTGTATCACTATCATCTCTCCAAATTAACAATGAACCTTATATAGTGAATAATTGAAAGCATCTTTGTTAAAATGACGATGTATCCAGTAAAATTAAGACACAGAAACCAGTAACCTTTTATTTATGGCACAAGTTTACTGCTTACGCTCTATGGTCCATCATTCGTCCACAGCGCGTACACATACAAACACGTTCACAATAAACAACTACACTAAAATTTGTGCGTATCCGACCTATATATATTAACCACGTTACTATTCTACGGGAAGTTTACATACACCGACTTATGTAATACGTTATATACTCTCTATATTTATTGCTGTCTCTGTCATACAGATGAAGAGCTCGATAGATCTCACTTATTTACTTACTTGTACTTTTAGGTTGGGAGAGACAGCCCATTGAAAAATGATAATGATGGAGATAAATAGATATTAAAAACAATAAGATATGAAGTAGATGAACCATAAATTGGTCATTCTCTGGTTATGGTTTACTAACTAATTTCAGAGGCATTTTTTTATTATTTGAGTATTCGAGTATACTGGAATACTCGTCTAATAAAAATTGTCACGTTAAATACGCATAAAAGAACAATTTAAATATGATAATGATTAAAACAACAGGCGTTAAAAATAACAATAAAGAATTGAATTATTTCCTCAGTTCTCGGATTTTTTCAAATTCTTCCAATTTCAATATTTCCTTGAAAACTTTTACAGTGATTAGAAATAGACAATTTAAAAAAAACTATTGCACACTATCATTTTTCAAATAAGCTGTCTCTCTTTTACAAATATAGCAATAAAACATCGAATCAATAAAAAATAAACCACATTAAAAAAATACTTTGGCTATGGAAAAGAATTATTGCTGTGACGTCCTCTGGAATTGCTACAAAGTCCCTCTATAGGAAATATGAATACAAACCAGAATCTCATTTATCAATTCTCTTTCATTTTCTTCAAAAGAGATTTGAGATTCCACTATGCACGTAGTTGATTTTTTATTTCAATGTGGCGAGTACCTGTGAATTGACTTGAAATGTGTTGATTAGCGTGCGAAAGTATCTTATAGTAGGATTTTAAAGGGGTTTTATTCTTGCACCAAACGATTGTACATAGTTAAAAAAGTAATTCATAACCGATAAGAACGAACTTTTGCGTGCATATTTATCATTTTATTATTATTAATATTTATTATTGCTGGTATAAATTATATGGAACTATAATAGTCAAATTCTAAGGCCTGTGTTAATAAATGTAGGAACGATATTAAATCTTAATGTAATAATAATAAAGTGCCAGACAACCACACTAATTAGAGCATTACCCACAACTCCCTGGACCAGAACTAATTTAGAAAATAAAACTATTTTTTCGGAAACGAAGAGAATAATTGTCATTCAACCAACCACCCAAGCAATGGGACCCATAAAGGGCCCTAAACTTTTATTGTTTGAAAAACAAATATACACGATTAAAATCGGAAGAAATAGTTTCATTTCCTATGTGTAACGTTCAAAGAAAACTTCATTTAACGTATTTCGACCACAAGGAAAATCGGTTTTTCGACATTAAAAAATACGAATTCAACTTCATTTTTAATTGATTATGTAAACAGAAGGTACCGGTAGTGAACCATGAAGCCTGAAACACGATTAACTAATCTTCACTCGATAAAAAGATCACAAAGTTCCGTAATATGTACGTTTTCACTATAGTCTGTTTTTTTGAAAGCGGAGTAAAATGACATTTGCAGGGTTGCCAGTTTTCATAAAAATTTAAATAGACATGTAGTTCTTGTCGACAGTTTTTTCGATAAATTGTGAAAGAAGGTAAAATTTTGACAAAAATGTTTGAATTGTGAATGTTACGACGTTCTAATGATTACTAATTGCGTTATTGCTTTCTTTATTATTATTTTGACAGCTGGCCTAGTATGCCAGTATTACATTTTATGATTTTTATTCATATACATTTTAACAAAAATTTGCTGATAAAATTAAAAACTTTAAAATATGTCTTCTCTTTGTATTTTTAATAGACATATGTAATTCTAAATGCAGCGTATGTATGTATAAAACTATAAAAATTGACAATTTATATGAACCTGTGCTTGTACCTTGATTATTGACATGAAACAAATTCGGCTACTTATTGCACGCGTAACCAACATTCAGTCGATAGAATATTTATCAACTCCACACGCAAAATAGGCGCCTTGACGTCGAGTTGCGGACACTAGCCCGTTACACCAAGTACCAAGTTTATCAACTGCAAACACTAGTTGCTTGTAAGCGGGCAACACTTTTGCGCAATTAAATGTCATTTTAATCTATTTTCAAAAAAGACAGACTATACATTCATGAAATTTTATCTCCTCAGTTGATAAATATGTAAACGGACTGAGAGGATATTTTATTTCTCAAAGGCAAATGTTTAAATATCGTATAATTACTTTCTCCACATCTCACACACTTCAAAGCCTACGTAACCACGATAAAAGTTCGTCTTAAGTGCTGTTTATTAATACGGGCCTAAGTAATGCAACTACCAACGTGTTTTTTGCGTCTTTACAATAAGGGACATACCACATTTATCATCACCGAATCGCATTAAGCTGACCAGAAAAAGGTGTTACGTTACGAAAGACCAAAAAAGACGCTGTGCGTTTCGTGTCGACGAAATGTCGTTTTCGCTCTTATTGCTTGGACAAAGATTTTTGTGACCGGCTCGAGCCGATTCTACTTTAAAAACTGTGGTGACACCCTTAATTTCGCTAATAATGTCTGCAAAGATACACCAAGTCAATTCAATAATACCCTAGAACTATAAATACGTACTAAATCTAGATTTTATATCTAATAAAACATCCATTGTATATTTCTATGATTATTATTGCTTTTGGGGCACGCCGGAAGACTTGCTAATAAGCGTTAACGGTTATAAGGTCAGTTGTATATTATAAAAGTTTCCCATTCATAAACATATCTCAAATTTTAAAAGACGTGCAAATGTGGGAGCCATGCCGTTGCTTTAAGGATCTTATCATAATCTTCCACCACAACCGACCCTATATTGAAGCTATCTTGTCAACCGCCATTCGCTTGCGTACTTACCCAACCTAATAAAACAAATTTATTTTGTGATTACGTAAAGAACACAATATTTATAACATACGACTGACCTCAAATAGGGTCTGTAAAATTATTGTTGCATATTCGATTCCATAGAAGAAAATATCTTCTATTAACCTTAAATTTGTCTAAATTTATCTCCTATATGGCATTAAAATTTGTACGCTATCACTATATACTATGGGGATGTCAATTCAATTGTTTAAACAATAAATACAAGATGTATAAATAATCACGATTCTTTGAAGGTGTTTTAAGTTGCGTATACCATTATTTTCACGAATACAAGTATCAAAAAGTTTTCAAGGAGTCCAAGCTTCGGCGGTATTTGACGATTGCGTTCTTACTCTATTCATTAGAATGTTCTCATCATGTCGTTAATAATAACGATATAATTATCAATTTTCATAAATAATCAGTTAAGGATTCCACAGTGCCATTCTATACAGACGACCTCCATGGTCGAGTGACTTACACGTTGCATTCTGAACCCCTAGTGACATCTAGTGAGAGATGTTAGAACCTTCTTTGCCGCAGCCAAATCAAACGTTATTACTATTATATGTATTATTACATTATTCTTGAAAACACCTATAATAACTATTCAATTAAAAATTCACCCTGATCCTTTAGGCATAAGGTAAATATTAGACTCGATTAAAGAATTCCTCGGTAATAATATATTCCTCCGTGAAACCCGAACTCCGAAGCCTGGACTTTTAAATAAAAATGATTCCATCGAGTGGTCAAAACATTTTGTTCTCGTTCTCAAGGGCAGGGGTATCCCTTAAAAAAACGCATTATGGTATATTTTACATCTGCATTCACAGTCTCCCTACACTAATAGAATAATACATACACAAAACCAATAACAATGGTTAAAATATATCTAAAAACCAACAATATACACATACACTTTCATGTGAAAATATATTAAACAATTTTTTTTAACAATATATTATTGCTACGACGAGGTTAGGGCACTATGTTCGGTGGACTGATATATGACTACAGCTACTATTTAAGTTTTAAAAATCTTTATTAATAAAAGCTTTGTTTCTCTGATACCAAAGTTTTGATGACAATTTAACAGAGAATATTGATTTTATTGAATACCATGATGTTTTACTTTATAATATGATTATGTATGCCAGGCAACTACACCAATTGCCTCGTCTCAAACCAGGGAATTCCCTGTACTTTGAGCACCAGAGCAACGGAATTCAGTCTGGGGCACTTCCCAGAACATCCGACCAGAACTAATTAAAAAAAATCATCTCTTTTAGTTTTTACCGGGAATCGAACCTGGGACATCCTCATTCAGAGCACATGAAATGTAGGGCCCTCAAGGTCATCATGTCAGAAAAAAAGGTAACTTTTCTATATTGTCTCGGGTCCAATGTTTGTATTGTTTCCGATTTCCATAACACAAGTGCTTTTGTTACTTACTTTGGAAACAGAGCAACGCATGTGACGTTGTCTAATAAAAGAAAATTAATTCATCATCATTATATTCAACCCATAATACGTTTCACTGATGAGCACGGGTCTTCTCTAAACAAAGGATTTAGGCCATAGGATTTAGGCACTTCCCGGAACACCCAAACCAGGGGGTCTGTCTACTCTTATTTTCCGTCCGACATCCTTCCAAAACAATTACTGTCAAACATTGACTTACAAATAAATGGACGACGGGTCTAATACAAAAACCACGAAAAAAATGTCCCAAGTCAACCTATCCGAAATTTAAATTGTAATGTCATCGCAGTATCGCGCTGTCAGTAGAACAAATGAAGACTAAAGCGGAGGTAGCGCTCTGTATACGATTTTAGCGCCTTACAAGTGCGGACACTTTTTAGCGCGGACCCGACGTCCATATAATTGTAAGTCAATGCTGTCAAATAAGTAATGCCCGACCAAGTTGAAAGGTGCAATGATGCGAATGAAGCGTCATACTTGACATTGTCTATTCGATTTGGTCGTGAATTACTTATTTCACAGTTATTGTTTCGGACGGATGTCGGACGGAGAACGCGACTAGGTCCTGGACAATTTAGAAAAGTCAATTTCACAAATTGGTCCTACTCCACACAACAAACTACTCCACATCCAGCACCCACAATGTAAACCTTTAACCCACCAAGGTCATCAACTACGTCCTACGAACTACTATGACTATATATTTATTTATTAATTCAAAGATCAAACAAACAGAAAAATAATTTCGACCTGACAGGATTCGAACCTGCACGAGATTGAATGTAACGTATTTATAATAGTCTGGATTCGCATAATGCGAAAGGAAAAAATTAACATTCTCTGTTAACTTGTCACGAAGTCGCCGATATCATTCAATCTCAATCAAATTCGCTCTTAACACAGAAAATTGTCACATACCGTTATACAAATCACTACGCGAGTTATTCAAACTTTAAGTACATAAAATAACCTATTATAGATATACTCTATTAATATCTTAATTAGGTACTTTTCACGAAGACGAATAGGCCTATAAATAGTTATTTATATTATAATATAAAAAGGGGTTTTACATAGAAAGTTTCAGAGGTAGGCTAAAAGTGTAGAACACTAGAGAAGGCAAGTTATAAATGCTATTTATTAAAAAATCGTCTTTTAAAATTGCTTTAGGAACAAAATTATTTTGTTTTACTGTAGTTCACAATGGCGTAACAATATAATATAGAAAAAAGGCCCTTGGCAAGGTACTATGATAGTGCCCTCATTGAAAGCTCTTCACATTATGCATGAATGGTGTGAAATTACGTCATACATTATATAGTAAGACGTCACACTCACGCATAAGCTTTCCTTGATAATGACTACACTCACAGACAATCTTTATGTGTGTAGGGACAACAGCATAAATATTAGAATTGCAGGCTCTGGCACTAGGTCGCCGTATTGCTACGCATTACTTGCCGGTATATATATAGTAATGTATCGATTTGTCGACCTCATTCAGTTATAATTTGATTGGGACAGAGTATGCAATAAAGCCCTCGGCGTCAATCATATGATATGACGATATATAATTTCAATTATATTTCATATTTTGAGGCACAGTAGAATAGGGTATTTGACTCAAACAATTTTCACTGCTTCAATCAACGAACATGGACTTGTTGAAAATCGATCTGGAGTACATTTCTCGGTATCTCAACTAACATCAGCGATACAAATGGTTATAGCCAACGGTTGGTAGATGCGCCGTCCCTTTTTAGATAAACAATGATTGTAGCGTCACAAATAAGTATTGCCGTTTCTTTCTAAAACCAGCAATCTTAGCATAAGCCCGAAGACAAAGTTAGAAAGTTATATCTTAGACTATGGAAACTAAAGGACATGTTATGTTGACATACATAATTCAGACGTTATATGTATATGATGCATTTCGACGTTGAAAACATAAACATGTTATTGTCTTTGTTTAACTACTGCGTGCCGTCTTAAGCCAAAAGAGATAGCATTACATTGGTCTGTGTCAAACACGGGAATCGAAAATACGTAACGTCATCTTAAATGCCCGCCGTGTCCATTTCGCAGTACATGAGGTACATGATACGGTTGTCAAAGGGACTTCCCTTCATCATCAAATGTCAAAACAAATGTTTTTCCAAGTAATTTATTGAATTATTCGCATTTATTCGCGTATTGTAATAAAATGGACAAAAATATTGACAGGAGTACAATTAAGTATTAATAAAAATTAGTCGCTGCAGCATTACGGGATGTGGCATTTGAAAATGCGAAGATCGACCGAATGTAACATTGTACAGGCACGTGTTATTTTTCTGTCCATAAATCACACAAAAACCCAAATATCTCATGTAATTAGACATATTTAAGTAGTTTATTCATAAATCTTACCAAATTTTGCTTTGGTTTCTTCAGATTGCCTGTTTGTTTGTATATTTTGATGATTGTTGTTAACAATTATTTTGAGATAGTGTTGTTCTTGGAAGCGTACATATTTCGATGTCCTATTATTAAAATAATTCACTACGAGGTTTTTATTATTATTATTATTATTATTATTTTTACTATTTCAAGTTTACCTACAAATCAAAAAAGAAAAAGAATGGTTTGAAATCATATCGCCGTATAATAGTGCCGAATATAAACATTGAATCAAAGACCATCTTCATTTATTCGCTTCATTTTGAAGAGTCAAATTTTAATATAACTTTGAACTAGATTACATGATAATGCAATTCCATCATTAGGTTTCCTGGTAAATAATTTTATATTTAATTTAGATTAAACAAGATTCATTTACTAGGCATTCTCAGTTCCTGAAAACAAGTTTATCCACTCGATTCCGAACTGTAATTACTAAAAATTCTTATTTTATAAAGCCAGCAATGACCATGTTGGTCTAACGTTGCCGAGTGAAAACCAATACCAACATTTAGGCGCTCGGCCAATAGTAGTCAATTGACATTGTATAATCAGACATTTGCATGCTATTTAATATATGCGAAACATGTTTATACTAACACTGTCTCTTGTTACATCTCCTGTTATACTATGTTTTAAGCAAATAAACGTATGATAATAATATTATTATTGATAATAAATATTATTACTTTCGTTTATTTCCAAAATTAAATGCGAAGTATTAAAGATTCACTTAAATCAGTTATCACTTATCGCTACATTATGGTACGACACTAAAGAAATCCGCCATTTGTTCGTTCAATTTTTGTTTAGGTGTGCACGTTCATTCCGTAGTCAGAGCAGCTCCTTTCTTTTATTTTTTTCCATCCTATAAGAGTTATATTCTCTGAACTGTCAATTTTGTCTCGGAAATGACGTCACAAAGAGCTATCTCAAGACTTTTTTTATTATTATTAATGCTTTGCCTTCGAATTTAGCCAATGAAAAAGTTGGGAAACCAGAATTACAGATAGTGGAAAAGGTACAGGATTTGAATGAAAAATTACGGGATTTGATTGGGTGGGTTAGTTAGAGTAGCTACTAAGCTTGCGAACATGAGCATTGCAAGAGTAAATTCCTCACGCACGCAAATGTCAAATGAAGACAATTTCATCATCATCAATCCTATATTCCATTTTTCAAAAAACAAACGGCAGAACAGAGGCGGAGCTAGTGTTGTAACTCTTTGGACTTATACCGGTTTGACTGCAATGAAAATTTAAAAACCTTGGAGCCATGACAATTCTTTCATCGATCCATAACAAACCTTTGACTACGGTATAGCTTATCTTTCTGCCATCTTACGATTTAAGTAGCGCTATAGTCAATACAGAAGAAAAACGTTTCTTCATACGCGCGAGTTTTGTATATTTCTGCTCATGCTACTATTACTGATTTCTTATCGCCTTAATATTTTATTTTAATTCTGTTCGAATTTCAACTTATATCCATTTCTAACTGTAAATGAAAAGCATTTAATTTTCCATGTCAAATACCCTATAGTCTAATATGAGTTTTAGTTTCACTAAGCAATGAGGTAGAGGAAGTACAATCTACATATAAAGGTATTCTAATCTTAGGAACACTTATTGGATTATTTTATAGAATACACTTATTGGCGCCAATTCTTTTGTGCGTTTAACTAAAACTAATTTTATAACATCAAAGAACATTTCGCGTTCCTTTTTATCTTAAACGTAGTTTTAGTTTTATAGAATTGTCACCGTCGATGGGTGTCTCCTTCCAACGTTAGTTGCTTCGAAAAGTCGTAATTTCACATCGATCATAATAATCCACTTTCTTTTTGCTTTACAAGAATAGAGGCCTAAACCAAAATGGTTCTTTTTTTTACTTTATTACACACAGCATTATATTGATTAAATTAATCACGTGACAACATTAGGCCGGTACACGATTCGTCGGCTTTTTTGTTACTTTTTTAGATAGGCCGCTATTCTATAAAGTCATCGACTTTGTTGGCTGTCGAAACAAATGATGTTCACGGTCTTATATTCGATACGTAAAGACCAGCAACTAGTATAGTAGCATACACCAGACTTTTTTATTTTTTCATATGCATCGCTTTAACGTAATCAGGCGGACTATGTAATCCAGAAAGTCGACTTTGTGCATCGATCACTGACGTTTCTCCTTGCTCTGTCATCGAAATTTGATCTTTGACCTTTCAGATGATGGAAAAGCAAACTTACACCGCGGAGTCAAGGCGAAGGTAAGTTCCGTCTTCTGCGGCGGAAGACGAGGGCGAATATGCTTCGTAAGCGCCGCCAGCGCCTCCGCCCGCCACTTGTCGAGATCCCCGTGCCCATTATTGAGGACTATTAGAAAACGAATTTGTGTCAAAACATTGATGCGAGAAAAAGACTTGTTACAAGCCAACATACATTTAATAATATATATAAATATATTTATTTAAATATATATATAATATATTATATAATATATATATATTATATATAATATATTTAAATAATGGAATTTAAACTATATTGTCTAGATAACAATAACGCATACACTCACAGTCCCGCACTAGGAAAACCCTGTATCGCGGGTGACATGGACACATACATAGACATCCACCAATTACACCCAAACTCACGAGAGAAAGAATCGGGAATCGAACCAGGTACCTCTGCGTGACAAACCAGCATGGTAACTGTTCGGCAACGTGGGCACTTAATAGTTTGTTTTAAAAAATTTCATGTTTATTTTTTTTTGAGACCTGTAAAACGTTGGTTTGTTTAAAAAAACATAAACAGGATTTAGGTCCAAAAAGATAGTATCATTTCCAATGTGTAACAATTTCGAAAACCTAAGAATTCGACATCCTTTTGCAGATACATTATAGCCAGCTGAAAGGTTTCCTCCTCTGAGTGTTAACTAGATTCCCTAGACAGATATGGCATAAAACTATGGATATCAAAGACAAACAAATCACCTGTCGTTGTCGTTCAAGCCTCCTGATTTCCCTGACGAGGGCATGAAAAGCATCGTCAACGAAATGCCTCAGCGCCGCGGACGTCTCGAAAAACGGGCAGCCGAACTGGGTAGCCAATGCTTTCCCCTCCTCTGTACTGACCTGTCGTATAATGTACATTTATTATTTATATCAAAGAATTAAATGATGAATCTCTTAGAGAACATAGGTGAATTAACAATTCGTACCCTTGCATAATAAAGTCACATGTGATCATACGTGAAAATAGTTTTTTCTCAACGGAAATGTTAGCATTACTTTCGAAAAACGAAATGGCGGTAACATTCTTTTGTTTTTTCGTCTTTTACGTATTTTGGTTGCGAAAATGGATGCTAGTGAGAAAAGCGATAACGAAACTACAGTAATAATACACATTCAAACACATCATCGAAAGTTCAGCAGACTACTATTAAAAAACAACAACACTACCTTTTAGCAAAATTTTCTTAATATGTCAAATATTACTTTTAATATTAATTAATATTTTTTTACTTTTTCTATTATACGCATTGACTTACAATTATATGGACGTCGGGTCCGCGCTAAAAAGTGTCCGCACTTGTAAGGCGCTAAAATCGTATACAGAGCGCCAAACTCCGCTTTAGTCTTCATTTGTTCGACTGACAGCGAGATACTGCGATGACATTACAATTTAAATTTCGAATAGGTTGACTTGGGACATTTTTTTCGTGGTTTTTGTATTAGACCCGTCGTCCATTTATTTGTAAGTCAATGATTATACGTCTTCTTTTCTTTAGTCCTTTATTATTTCCTCACATTGTTTGAGAAAAATTCTATACATGTCTCGGCGGGAACGGGGATTGCTTGACTCGTTTTAATACAAGGCCTCACTGGCGCTCGTCCTCGTCCAGCAATCACTTACTTCCCCGCCTCTGCCATAATGTACTATTAGCACATGCAAGACATAAAAGTAATACGAACTACGCGAAACAAGTTGTATGTATGTGAGATTTTATAACTCTCCTATTTAAGCATAAGAAAGTTATCGACTAATTGCGATTGTAAGATCTTAAACCTCATCCGAAAAGTTGGAGTTTTGCAGATGTGGCCTTATTAAGCCAAGGTTACGAATTATAATTTCAACCAAATTAATTTCTTTATTATAATAATTATTCATCAGTTTGTCGGTGGCGGGCGTCCAGCTGCGGGAGGGGCAGACGACATCGTAAGAATTGCGGCGTGAACCTGGGGGTCTACTCTCGATCTCCGTCCGACATCCGTCCGAAACAATTACTGCCAAATAAGCAATACTTGATCAAATGAAAAGACGCGTGATGCGAATGAAGCTTCATACTGGATACTTCTCTTTTAATTTTGTCGAATATTACTTATTTGACAGCATTTTGACAGACATTGTTTCGGACAGATGTCGGACGGAGATCGAGAGTAGACCCCCTTGCCCTGTACTCTCGTTCTTATCTCGTTCGAAACAATTACTGACAAATAAGTATTACGCGACCAAATTAAAAGTAATGCGAATGAAGCTCCATATTTGACATTGTCTTTTATTTTGGTATATTACTAATTTGTTTCGGACGGATGTCGGATGGAAAACGAGAGTAGATAAGATGGGCGCGGGACCGTGGGCAGTAGCACAAAAACTCAGAGGCCTACACCCAGCAGTGGTGAAGTCAGGCTGTATACGATGGTGATGATGATGCCGACGGCAAAAGTTTGCTCCAGATTCTTACAAAGTCTTATAAGTTCAGTAATAAAGGTTATTTTTTGATTTTATTCTATATCAATTACTGACCAAGTGGGGTGCATGAAAGGAGCGTCCCCGAACGACGTAACATTCATTCCCAGTACGTCTGGCGCACCCCTGGGCAACAATTGGCGAGTACTTTACGCCGATTGGCAAACCCTTTCACCACGATGGCAAGGATTATAGTGTATACCATCGATACGATAAGAGGAAAAAGACTGACCAAGTCACATGAACTCTAGATTAAAACTTAAGGACTATCCATTGGGAGGTGGATCACCTTAAGTACAAATATTCACTCACTTGTCTAAAACGTGGTGCCAAATCCAGCTTGTTTCCAACAAGTACGATCGGCAGTCGTTCTGCGGGCCGCGCCTGCGCTAGCAGCCGGCGGTACTCGGCAGCCGCGCGGAACGACCGCCGGTCGGTCACTGAGTAGCATAGCACGAAGCCCTCCCCGCAACGCATGTACTGCTCGCGCATGGCTGTGAACTCCACCTGAAAATGCATTGACATATTGGCAAGTTGGTAAGGGCTGAACTCAAAGCAACTAACTATGACCAAATTGAGGATGTCCTAAAGAAAGTCCATGTCAAGAGTACCCCAAACCGACGAGCAAGTATGAAAACACAGAAGCGTGTTTATGAGGTGAAAGATATGTGTCAGGATTGTAGCAAATGGAAGGCTGTTGTCGCTGTCTACCTAAATGACAAAAGGGCTAGTAGCATAGTAGCATATTTTGTATTTATGTATATACAGAGTTAACGTTTTTTGCGATAAATTGGACTTTTTAAATTGTTTTTTTGACCTTGGTAGACATGTGAAAGGTTAAAGTCCATGATCCATGAAGTCCGAGAATAAATCATCTTCACCAAGAAAAACAACATATCTCGTAATCTTTTGTGAAACCGTATTGACAGTAATTTAATTCAACATATAAACATTTATGTTAACTTCTAATAACAAATTAACCATAGGGCCAGTTAAAGTACATATACGTCTGTACAAACCTACAATGTGTTACTATATTGAAATAAGAAATAATTTTGCAAAATTGTTTTGTAAGTGGCAATATACATATATGTATTCCAATTTTACCGCTTAACAAAGAGCCAAATCTAACCGGCAGACACGTCAGTTGAAAAGAACTCTTTCTCTGACACCAGACACATGAGGCATGTACTTGTAACCAAGTCTGCTGGCCATGCTATTCTATTTAAGAACTTAGGAGTATAGTTTTGAGCCCTTCATTACAATTCCACAAATCTAACAATGCCTCTGGAAAGATAAACAGCCACAAGCCAATAGTCTCAAATACTTGAGAACCCTGTTCAATTTTTAAAGCATCAAACAGTAGAGAGGTCCTGTTAGATTAGGTTAGTATCATAATCCCAAATGCTGGTCGGGATATCACAAGACACCATATTTTTGACCAAGTTTATGTCCAACCCCAAGCTAAGCAAGAGCAGACATACTGCAGATTTAGCCTGACACTACTGCCTTTGCACCTCCTGAGGCACTGTAGCCCTCTAAGGCGAGTACAAAACTCCTCAAAGGTGAAATTACCCAGCTATAAATAAAAAATCCTGTACAATTTAATATTATTGATACAAACATCACACAAACACAAATAAAAAATCCTTCAAGTGGACTCACACCAGCGTCTGTTGCCTCACCGTGGCTACCGCCTTTAGCAACTGAACTGAGGCAACAGGTGATATAAGAGTGGTAGCCACAACGAGGTAATACGTAATAAATGCTAGCGCAAGTTTAGTCCAATCAAAAGAATTTATCTTTGCGTTAGTTTGATCTTTCTTCGTCAATTATAATAATAACAGTGGCATATTGTCACAAAAAATACAATAATATCATGTTGGTAAAGACATCATGATATTCAATAAAAAAAATATCCTACAGTTGAATTTTATTTCATTTTAGCAATATTCACAATCAATTTACAGTGAAAGAGAGAAGCAAAACCCCTAAAAAGTTAAAATTATTGGCCACACCAAATGAATGTGTACAATATGTATATAACACATTATTATTGGTGTATGGGAAATATCATTTATCTATAACTTATGGAGAAATAAAGGAAAACTTGTAACAGAAACCAGGAAATCTATCTAAACTTTTAGTTAAAAATAAATGTTTGATTCATATTTTATCCTCATTAAAATTACAAAATAATAAGGAACTATTCTGTTTATATTTCTAAGCCATGGAATTTTTCATGGGAAACAACATCATTTTAATATAATGTCATGCATGTCAACAGTGTGAGACCACACTGTTGTCGCTGTCCATAATATGTTGTATGATATGACAGTTATATGACAATAACTCTCTCTTCATGTATACACTTTTTACACTGTATTGAACATTTCATAGAATTTATATTATTTTAAGATGTTAATACAACTTTAATAATATCTAAATCTCTCACCTGTCCAGCTGTATCTAAAATATCCAACAGAGCAGGCTCTCCATCTATCACCGCCTGCTGCTGATACGAATCCTCTGAAAACATAATTTTATATTGTAAGCTTGTAAAACCAAAATGGAAATGTCAATAGGGATAGTTTTAAAATATGACTATAGGATCTGTATAAGTAACAAGGTGCAGCAGTTACCTATAGTGGGGTCATGGTAGTGGTTGTCCAGACTACTACAATACGAAATATTACAATGTATTTGAGTATCAAAATATGAGTTTAGAGTCCACATAAGAGACATGGTGCAGTAGTTACCTATAGTGGTGTCATGGTACTGGTAGTCCCCGCTATTAAGTTACGAAATATTACAATGTATTTGAGTGTCAAAATATGACTATAGGGCCCATATAAGAGACACTGTGCAGTAGTTACCTACAGTGGGGTCATGGTAGCGGTTGTCCCCACTACCAAGTTATAAAATAAAACAATGTATTTAAGTATCAAAATATGATTATAAAGTCCATATAAGAGTCACGGTGCGGTAGTTACCTATAGTGGGGTCATGGTAGTCCAGAAAACTGTGACTGACGAACTGGAGTGTGACGGCGGACTTGCCGACACCGCCGTCGCCGAGCACCACAATCTTGTATACTCGGAGGCCGCGCGAAGTGCCCGCAGCCTCGCCCGCCATACCGCCGCATGCCTGCGGGGCCGGCGCCGCCGCCCGCGCCGCGCTGGGCGCTCGCGAGCCGCGCCCGCGCCCGTCACACGCCCCCAAAGAGCCCCACCGCCATCGCCACAAGCCACCGCCCAACGCAACCACTGTACTCACACACGAAACCGCACAACACACTTTTCAGTTATACAAGATCATTCTGTTGCTAAAAAACATTAATTTTTTATAAAAAATCGACAGCTGATTGAATTGAGGGCGATTGACAATTTGACATTTCGGTTTAGTTCTCTGTGTTGGCAAACTCGATTGAAATGTTATTTGTGCATTCCGAACACTGTGAAATATTTGCAGTAAAGAAAATAAAAAAATTTATGTGACTTTTACAAGCTTGATTCCAAAAAATTTATAAATAATATAAAAAGTTATAATCGATGCAATAATATATTTTACTTTACACTTGGTAGGTCAATGTTACGCTTAATTGAATTCTTCACGGAGTCAACGCAATTTTTGCGTTACAAAATAAACATTTTTTTAATGTATCCTAACGATTAGGCTGGCTAGCCTGATGAGCGTCCAAATTCTATAAAATCTATAATTCGCTCCACAACATAAACATTGATAAAGCCTACAAATTTTAACAAAACATTTTACTTTTCCTAATTAATGATTTATTGTGTCGCATGTTTTATATTTTAATGTAACGTTACAATAATCTTTAGAAACAATTAAATTTAGTAGAAAGTAAGAATCGTGTAATTCCTGCACAAAGAAAACGGAACTCTCTTTATCTCATAAACGCACTCATCAAGTTGTGGACAGTTGTTGGTTGGTTGGGTAATTATTCATTTTGTAGGTAAATAAAAATAATATTTTCTGCGAGAACATGGCCCATATACAGTTTGTGGACGAGTTGGTTAGAGAATATCTATTATTCAGAGGATTCACGTCCACAGTGAAGGCGTTTGACAATGACTTAAAAGCCGATAAAGACAAAGGTTTTAGAGTGGACAAAATCATTGAACAAATCTTACATTATATCAATGTCTCGGACCTAAATGGCTTGAAGGAGTATTGGTTACATCTGGATAGTTTAGTATTTTCTAAATTGGAGATCCACATGCAGCCAGGTAAGTCTGTTTGACCAAAAAATGTACAACTTGTTTATAATGAAATGTTGTATTCGATAGATGCTGTCTTGTGGAGCATGTAACATTTAATATAAAAATTGTTACATGCTCTACAACTACCTTGCGTAAGATAAAATAATATACAAAAGTCAGCTGCAAGCTTCCTTTCAAAAGTTTACAATATTTAAATTGCAGATAAAAATTCAGGCCATATATGCATTTAATGTAATTTATATATTTAATTAACAAACCGATGGGATAGTGACTTATTAAGGCACTGGTCCTCCCTTCATTTACGTTTGCGTATTATTGAAGTTTTTTTTGTATCACTAAGAATTGTTATTTAAATAATGACGCACACACCCAACAAAACTTGTACTAGGGAAACCCTGTGTTGCGGGTGCCATGGACACATCACAAATTACACCCAAACTCATGAGAGAAATAAATGTAGGCCATACAAATATTTCTTCCGGACCAGGAATCGAACCTGGGACCTATGCGTGGCAGTCCGGCATGGTAATCGTTCGGCCACAGAGACAGTTTAAATAGACTTTATGAATCTATTGTTGTCTGAATTAAACGCATTTTATTTAATTTTATTTATTTTAAATCATAATTATCTTTGTATGTTATTATTATAACAATTTAATATTGATACAAAGATTGAACAAATACAAACAAAACAAGAACCAACATTTGTCACCTCAATGTGGCTAAGTCCAAAAAGCAATAAGCCCATTGAGAAATTTGTAAGCTCTGCTGTCTATCCGAAGCTCAGTTGGCAGAATGGTAACCATGTTTTGAAGATGCAGACACTGGTTTGAGTACAGTCGAGTTGAAGGAATTTTTTTCTTGTGTTTATTTGATCTTTGTATCAATAATAATTCCTTATACATATTAATTCTTTTGAATTAAAAAAAGTACCTTTTTTGCACAATAAGTTGCCATATTAAAAAAATTTGCCATTTACATATTTTCAGCTGTGAGAAAAATAGAGTATAGTCTATACAAACTGTACTTGGTGACAGCAACTCAGAGCACTGGGGGAAGTCGTAACGAGAAGGTGGCTGACTTCATGGCCAAAATGTTACCCGAGTTACAAGGCCAGAATGAGTGGAGAGATTGGTTCAGTAAGTATCCTTTTTACTTTGGTATAACACTATTTCTGTACCTATTTTACAAGTAAAATATTCATCCAGCCGGCTTAGGAAAGCCAACAACTTTTTTTTATTTCAAATATTTTTATCTGATAAGCATATTGAGGCCGTGGTCGAGTGGGTTTGCATACCGGTTTTCATGGTGTCACCATCTCTGGTCCCGGTTTCGGTCCCTGGCCGGGTCAGTGTAGAAAACTAACTTTTGTATAGGAAATGAAACTATTTTTCCAGATTTAATTCACGTATATTTGTTTTTTCAAACAAACCGACGTTTCGGACCCTTTACAGGTCCCATAGTCACGGTTGCACTGAAAATCATACTCAAGTCCTTGCCATTAGGGTCGTATTTCCAGTGCTTGAAATCATACTCAAATCTGCTCAAGTCCTGACTTGAGCATTGAGTAGAGTTCTGGAATACGACTCCGAATAACGTTTGTAGCCTTTGCCGGTCGAGAAGTAAGAGTAATCGTACGGGTGTGACGTCATTTCGGTTCGATTTGGAATACGACAGTTTGACGTTCTATTCGGTTATTGTAAATAAAAATGAAAAGAAATCGTACGGTATCTAATCGAATCGGTCGACAACAGAGTTATCGTAAGATTCAGAATCGACCTGCAGCTCTGTTTGACTTTTCAGTCTGCAGTATTTATAATAATAATAATTTATTGTCAGACAACATGATCCATAATATTTGTTAGTAAAAGGCATGTAAAAGGAGTACTTAATCTAATGTTAGTGTGAACTTAAAAATAAAAAGTTTTGTATAAAAGTGGCAGGACAGCATACCCAGCAAATTTATGCTGAGTCAGGGCCATTTCAGCACAAACTGTCATACATAAAATTTTGTTAATTGTCACAGTATTTGTTTGTTTCTCTCTGTCTCTCTCTCGCCGTATTTGTTTTTATCGCGGTATATGTTTTATATAAATGTGTATTAAATTAATAATGTATGTTCTAAACATATTTGGCAAGTAGGGATTTGTTTAATAAGGGATTTGTTGTCTGTAATAAACTTTAACTTACTAATAAATTTTAATAATATATCACGAGAAGTACCTAATAATAATAATAACGCTCACACTCAACATAGATTGATATAGTGAATTATTTGGTCAAGTGTGAGTTGTCCACTAATTTTTGACTAAACTAAGAATTTTTATATTATATTCTGACGTTTACTAACTAATACGCGGTTAAGTGACAAGTGGTCAAATATCTGTTTTAAATAGCAAAAGATAGAGCGCAAAATTCTCGTTAAAAACTAGTTAAAATTAGTTAACGTTATATTTTATCTTAGGCTTATCGGAACTTACCATAACGATGCATAGCTGAAATATTATTAAACAATTTCGATATTCTAAAACTGGATTATGGTTTTTTACGATATTTTAGTTAGCGGACGGCAGTATTAAGGGCGGCTACCTATCTAAAACCGCGCGAACTAAGTCACCTACAATAGTTAAGTTTATGTTAAATTTTTAGTCTTAAAAAAAATATTTACAAAACATAATATGTTTTGTAAATTTGTTACCACTTTTATGGAGCTTACCAACATTCCACAGCATTTGTTGTGATTGCCATAGTGGTACTAGTGATTGTAGTTGCAGAAAAACAGCAATGTAATGCATTATATGACACTGCTGATCATCTACTTAGTGTCTACTGATTTAATTATCAACTATTGGTTTACATTCTTAGCATAAATCAAGAAAGGCTTCTATAATAATTTGATTATCTTTCACAGTGCTTCCATACATCCAAAAGCCAGAAGAAAACCCAACCTTCAGCCTTTACTTCACGCGATCATGGCAGGACAGTGTGTTGGTGTCGTTGCACAATCTACTGGCCACTGTTTTCCAGTGCATGCCGCAGCCTACGCTTACCAGCTACGAGAGTGACGCGGCAATGTTGAAACGGCTCCAGGATGAACTTGCTGCTGTTAAAAATAAGGTCAATATATAGGAGTAGAAAGATTATAACACCATCATGTGTCGTTTTATTGGCAAGTCTTCACTTTCTACAACTTTCAGTGCTCCACCTTCTTTATTTACTCATTATGTGTGGATTTTCATTCACGGCTTATGCAGCCCAATACCATAGTACCCAGAAATCCATTGTGAACCAAGCTGGCTACACTACTCTCTTAAAAATTCATTGAATTCAATCACGAAGATAAAACTACAGACTATAAACAGTGTAATTTTAATTGGGACATTGTGAAACCATGAGTAATACAGGGAAACTGCCTTGGAAACCGTTGGGTGTTTTTTGTGAAAACAAAGTTGTGAAAGTGAATTCACGCTTGGCCAAACAATTGACCATGTGAAATTTATTTTTAAAAAAAAGACCTAATAGTTTCTAAGCCAGTTTCCCTGTATCATCTCCTATGGTTTCGGATTTATCCTTACTGTCCCGGTTAAAAAAATACTGTACATGTAACAAAGTGTGACAAACACATGTGGCCAATTTATCAGTTGGTCACTGTACTCATAACAATCAACTTATATTATTATTTTTTCTTTCCATACAAAATGTGCATTGTCAATGGGTAATTTCTATTAGATTTTGCTTTTTGTTACACCCTTTACAAGCTGACTAGTGGACTGACAAAATGTAGAATTCACACATCGCTGCTTTTCGAGAATAATGACCCAAATCAAAATATTTTATTACACACCTTATTCTGAATGTGCTATGCATAAGATACCGAGCTTTTCATTGGTTAAAATATTCACGTTACGACGTTGATCAGTATTGTACGCTATATACGACTCAGTTTCTATTAAATCATCTACCAGATAAATTTGGTGTTTTTGAGATATGTCGTTATTTTAGAAAACCATCGACATGTTTTATTTCTTTTGTGGAATATCGTGATGTTTTGACATTCACATATTTTTTGAGAAATACTCCACTAGTTTGTTATTATTATTGATACAAAAATCAAACAAAGAAAAATTCTTTTGAGTCCAGTCGGATCGAGTAAAAAGCCATTTAGACCCAATACAAAGATATGCAACAAGCGTAATTATATTATTATTGTAAATAAGTTTATTGAACGTCACAATGTTTCACCATGATAAACTTAATCACAATGATTAGTAAAGTGGCATCTCTAGTGAGTTGCTGATAGCTGTAAGGCCGCGGCTGCACTACTAAGGCGACTGCGACGCGACGGCGATTTCGTGCAAACAAACTCATATAAACACATGTCGATGGCCGCACTGCAGAAACGACAAGCGAAATTTATTTGTTCATATCGTAAAGAAACTTCAAATGTTCGACAAGTAATGAGGGTGTCCGCATTAAATAAAATTATCCAGCGACCCGTGACGACACTTGAATTTCGTACGACAGGCAGCGGTGCGAAACGGCAATTTGTCACGATTTCCGACAAAATATGCGGTGATGTACCTGAGCGGCCGCACTGCCCCGCGGCATTCGTGCGAAAGAGCGCGACATATTCGAGCGAAAAGTTGCGAAGGAGACACCGCACGACATAAACAAAATAGTTTGATTTTGTCGTTCAATAACTCGACTCGCACAACGCTACGCGCGTGTTGGCGCGTATAAAATACGCTGCGTGCATAGGCTCTCAACGAATGAAGCCACCTTAATAATAATAGGCTCTCAAGATTCTTAGCTCCCATTGTTTTAAGAGGTTACACGAACGAACAAATCAATTTCGTAAACGTTTCCAAGTTTGCCTTTACTTATAAAAGATATACTATCCTGTACAGACACAACAGCAGGCGCCAGAGAAAACCTCACCAATTGGACACCAGTCCCGCCTTGCCCTGTACTCCGAACGCCTTAGCGGACCACTGCCCTTAGTCGACGATTTCTGCGCTATACCCTCGGAACAACTCGACAGCAGCATCAGAGAAGCTAGAGGGTTAAGAGGCCTTCTAAGGCAGATGGGGGGCAGCCCGGTCATGGGGCGAAAAGGATCGAGATCACAAAGTCAGAACTGACGCTTGTAGTCTAAATGTAAATATGGTAATGTAAGTAAATGAAATGTACACACACGTTCTTATGATCTGTTAAATAAAGTTATTAAGTTAAAAATATTGTCGTTAATATATGTATTTACGTGACTGACTGAGAACTGCAACTTGAAATACCCAGCCGGGCACAATTTTCTTCACTTTACCGTAGCTGACTAACTAAAGACGAACCATTTTTGTGTTTATTGCTATTAGCACTAACAGTAAATAAACATTAATTGTAGAGTCCCTGACTCCGGTCGACTGTGCCGTTACCGAGGAATAGCGACTCCCCAGAGGCGAGAATCTAAAATAGATATCCGAAATAATAATAATAAAAACCTATAAAATAAAAGTGACGTCGACGGTACATCACTACGTATCACGTTTGGTAAAAAAAACAAGATCACTCATAAGTGCTAAACGTCTAATCATGAAGACGGACTTCAAAAAGTCCTGGAATCCGGAGCTGCCAATAATTATTAAAACAAAAAAGGTTCGACTTCAGTTTTATGCGTGAATACCACGGAATATCAAAGATACAATGAGTTTGAACTTATTTATAAATATGTATAACAGAACTATATTATCACAACAGCACGCATAAATCTAGATAGATATATGAATATAGAAGATAATAATAATATAATAATAATAGTAACGCACACACTCAACATAACCCCGCACTAGGGAAAACCCTGTGTCGCGGGTGCCATGGACACACACATAGAAAACCACAAATTACACCCAAACTCACGAGAGAAATAAATGTAGGCCATACAAATATTTCTCCCGACCCGGGAATCGAACCTGGGACCTCTGCGTGGCAGTCCGGCGTGGTAACCGTTCGGCCACGGAGGCAGACGCAGAAGAGTTATTGGACAATAACGAAAAATGGATGGAAGTGGGAAGAGTCCTTAGAGGATGGAATTTCCATAGTCTAAGGAAGAGGCACGTGGAATTTGGATAAAAGAAAGTCGTCCCCCGCGAATGAGGGTATTTTACTTTTTCCATCCTGTACGGGGTGAACAGATATGTCTGTTCTTAAAGCTGTCATCTACCGCTGGCCAGTCAACCAGTGACTATAACATTTAAAAGAAGAAGAAGAACCAGTGACCATAGAGCGCGTAACCGTTCCGAAATATCGGAAAATTAAAAGAAATCATACCTTGATGAGAAACTTGTATTTTATTATTTCCGTTTTAGTGATCCGCAAATTAGTGACAATCATTTAAATTAGTTTATTTTTAATATTTTTAATTTAAATTAAAAACCTATAGTCCATTTATTTAGGAACAGTCAAGAGCACATCAAGCTTGACACTTTGTACCGTTCTTATTGTAAGCGGCATAGAGTTGGATTTAAGTCTTAAGTGTCAAGCTTGACGTGCTCGTGACCTTAACTAAATGTAAACAATCTTGATATATCTTGTTATTGAAACATATACTTTACAAATCAACAGGTATAAAAAGGCATGCAATTTCATATGAAGCTAAATATTCGTATTTTGTATTTGAAGGTAAGTAAATACATTTTATAAATGTATCAAGATTGTTTACGTTTAGTTAAGTACCTAAACAAATGAATTATAGACTGTGTATTTTTTGGCTTATTGTATAAATCTCAATGGTCTAACAATGTTAGAAATACATACCGACATGTTAGAAAATAGATAGATATTGATATTTTGTTGATTGATAAGCAAATTATTGATAACCTTTCTCCAACTGTTGCACTTAATATTATGATAGTTGGGCTTTGGAGTACCGATTTGCAACATAAGTGTCTACTAGAACCATAGTACTGCAGCAGGCCCCAAGATGGCACCACAATGTACTAAATGTGGAAATAATATTTTAAAGAGAGACTTTCTAACTTGTGAAGTATGTGATCAGCTCTTCCATCTTGACTGTACCGATATATCTTTCGGCCTCTTCAAGCTAATGAAATCAAAAACATTCAAATGCCGAACATGTCGAAATTTACCTGGAAATAATCATTTCCACAGTACATCAATTAACCATAATCATACAAAACTAACCAATGGATATTTAGAAGACAATATTACACACAGAAAACCGAACGCTATTTGCAGTATTCCTAAAAGCAATTCATTCGAATTACTGTCAGGCTGTGACGAGAAAAGTCAACAGAACAGTCCACAGACGATGAATTAGACAAACAATTAGCAGAAAATTATACTTTAGAAAAAAGAAACCCTGAGCTCGAACTTAAAGTTGCAAAACTCTCACATATCTGCAAAAACTAAACTACAGCTGCGACAAGAAAAAATCCAAGGGATGCACAAGAACCAAGCTTGACTTTTCCCAGTACACTTATCAGGAAACTAATTACACTGAAGTATTAAACAATCAGCCTGAAATCACCCCAGCGACAGTGAACGGTTCTAGCAGCCCCACTAACAAAGCAGAATCATTACACAAGAATAAAAATAACATTTGTATTCTCAGCTCTAACAAATATAATAAAACGCGATCTGTATTGGAAAATATTTTGGGCGATAAGTATAATATATTACATTATCTGAAACCGAACTGCGGAATAGTAGAGCTACTAAGAAATATAGAATCCACAGTGACCAACTACACGTACGATAATTTGTGTGTGATATTCGTAGGAGATGATGACTTCCTTACTACTAAGAATTTCTCCAAGCTATGCACCGGAATTAAAGAAGCTCTAATGAAAATTCAACACACCAACATTACATTGTGCCTACCAACGTTCCGATTTCAAAAACACTCAAATTTGTTATTCAACTGGCGAATAGAAAGTTTTAATAATCTATTATACTGGGATCAGGACTTGCATGACTACACGTATCTACTCGACACAAATCTGCATTTAGAATATAACAACTACATATACCGTCCCATTACTGGCCTAATTAAGACAAACGCATTGCGCATCGTCAGTACAGATCTGAAACAACTAATGAATGATATTAGAGACGCCTTTTTTTCAACCTTCGCCGACCGTCACCACGTACATCAAAAGAATAAGCGTTTTCTTTAATATGTACAAAAAAGAACAAAAAGAAAACCGAAAAATAGAATACACAAAGCAACAATCTTTTATCAAAAAGTAAGGGGTTTAAAAACTAACACTGCAAGTATAAAGTAAGCACTAGAACAGTTTCCAAATCCTGTATTAGCTTTCACCGAGACACGACTGGACTACAGTGTATGCGGCGCAAAATTATTTCCGGCAAATTATGCTATTTTACGCCATGATCGAGCTGGAGGACGGGGCGGCGGCGTACGACTTGCCGTACGCCAGCCCTATAATATGCAACGTGTTGACCGTGGCTGCACATCTGATGACGAAGTCGTGGTCGGTCTTATCAACAAGGGATGTTTACGTTTCATTTTTGTTGTACTGTACTTACCCCCTAGGATATCTGACAACCGCTATTTTTCAATTTTTAGAATTTTAGAACAATTATAATTGTTGGAGATTTTAACTTGTACTTCGCATCGAAAGATGTAAAAGATGCTTATGATTTATTACTTTCAACGTGCAATTTATCGCAACTTAATACTGCTGTGAATGGCCGGAACCGTATTCTTGACCTCGTACAGGGCTAGGTCCAATCGTGTCAACCTCAACGTAAAGGAGTCTGTGGTAAGCCTGGTTAAACCAGAGATCCATCATGTGCCGCTTGAAATTCATATAGTATTACAAAGGCTACATTTTAACTTGCCCACACCTCTGTGTCCACAACGCACCCATGTAATCGAACCTGAATCACCACTTATTAGATCTTTTCGAAATTTCAGAAAAGCTGACTTTAGCGATCTATACCGAGAACTATCCACTGTTGACTGGTCACCAGTTTACCAATCTTTGACATAGATGACGCTGTTGACTGCTTTTTACAAGACGATTAATAATAATGTTATATCTATAATTAATGACAATTTGGATTCTAGAAAACAGGAAGACGTAGCATATTTCGATTTTCAGAAAGCCTTCGACCGAATCGATTGTGACGTTCTCTTAGAAAAACTGGTCATCACAGGTTTCTCTAAAAATATGTTCACTTTCTTTGCAGATTATCTCAAACATCGTGAACAATATGTGCAATACGAATAGGTACTGTCAATCTGGTGCCTATATAGTCAATTCAGGCGAAGGGCAAGGTAGTAGCTTGGGGCCTTTGATGTTCCTAATAATTATTAACGACTTACCCGCATGTATCAATCACTGCACATGCCTCATATTTGCAGACGATGTTAAACTAGCTAGGGCCATTGTGACTGACGTTGATTGTGCGCTGCTACAGGAGGACATTAACAATTTACATAGGTGGTGAAGTACAAACAGTCTACATTTAAACATTAATAAGTGTGCCATAATGACCTTCACTCGCACCCATAAATGTATAATTAATAATTACTTAATCGGAAACACCAACATAATAAGAGCAAGTTCTATCAAGGACCTGGGCACTTGGTTACGACTCTAAACTGAGCTTACAGGAACATGTTTCCAAAATCAGTAAGGCCTCACGAAAGTCTCTTGGCTTCGTCTTGCGACAGTCCAGGCAATTCAAGGATAAAATCACTGCCTGTATGTTGTATAATTCCTTTGTTAGAAGTAAGTTAGAGTGTAATTCAATAGTTTAGAACCCCATACATGGCAATCATACACGAACCATAGAAAAAAATCAAAAAACATTTGTGCGTAGTCTGTACAGCAAAATCTATGGTTATTACCCACTTTCGTACCCCACAACTTTTATTTTGGGTATGGTTAAGTACCCCACGCTGGAGGTGAGACGAAACCTGTCTCTCATTACCTATATATTCCGTCTAGTGCGCGGAGCCTCTTATAATCCTTTTTTTATTGGCAATGATAGGTTCCGCGGTCATGCGCAGTGCCACCAATTAGACAACGGATTGTTTGCCCTGCCTATTACTCGGTATAGACCCAGTAAGTCAGCTTCTTTGCCTCGAGCGCTTATACTAATTAGTCAGCTGCTTATCTCCGACTCCTCGATAGACCTATTCAATTGTTCAGAGTCTAAGTTTATATTCTCCACAGGACTCTAAACATTGATCAGACCCAGCAGTATTTAAGTTTAAGTTTAGCTTTACTATAATCTTAATTTTTAATCTGACATATTATTAATTTTTCTTCATGACATTTTACTTTATTATTTTCTGTATTACCTTGACATGAATTTGTTTACTATTTACGAATAATGTGTTATTGCTTGTACTAACTTTACCGTATTTTAAGAGGGAGTAGAGGAAAAATTCTTAATCTTCGATTTTGATTTTAGAGGGGTATATCCACATATATATAAAGTTAAAAATAAAATATTGTGTGAGTAACTACACGATATATTCAAGCATAGACATTAATCAGAAACATAAAACAATAAAGTTTCCTCGATAGATAAATATCAGTCAGAAATGACCTCTAATTTTCACATTTTTTCGATTTATCCTCGAAATGCTTAGACTTTGGAAACTAATTTCATATGAAACTAAATATTCGTATTATATATTTGAAGGTAAGTAAAAACATTTTATAAATATATATTTCATTTAATAGACTAGATTGTTTACGTTTAGTTAAGTACCTAAACAAATGGACTATGGACTGTGTATTTTTTGGCTTGTTATACAATAATAATAAATCTAACAATGTTAGAAATACATACCGACATATTAGAAAATAGACAGATATTGAGATTGATAACCTTTCTCCAACTGTTGTACTTAATATTATAATAGTTGGGCTTTGGGGTACCGATTTGCAACCATAAAAGACTATCCACACATATCCGGGACGTGGACGGGCCGTGCTCCGTCAGGGGCTCAAAAACATATAGTTGTGTATAGACAAGGACTATAGTTCTTTTATTTATTTTTTTATCCAATTAAAGTCAGATTACTGTTAAACACCATTATAGTTTCAAAATATATCTGAATGTGAACGAGACAAAAGTCATACTTAAAAAAGACTTGGCATAGGCTTGAAAATGGAAAAGAGATTAGAAATGGATTAAAAAAGACTAGGCTGCATGGTCTACACACCTTCGCCTTTCCGCAAGGAAAAAGTAAAAAAAAAAATTAAATAAAAATTATTAGTAAATTATTTCTACAAAATATTTTATAAATTAGTTTTACAAAACGAAATAGACACAGACTCAAGCCCAGTCCTCGTCATTAAGGAATAATAATAAAATAAAAAAGCATGTTAACTCAATATCCGCACAAATCTATTAAATAAACATAAATAACACGAACAAAAAAAAAATGAAAAAATATAATTTTAAATTGAACTTATAAATAAAACAAGAAGCTTTATCAAAATGGCGAAGGACTACGATTTTTGCAAAGATGCCATGCTACGAAGTGAGCGGTGCAACATGCAGTGGTACCAGAAATATTTATGCAGGGTTTTGGAGAAAGCTAAAGAGAATAGAGCAAGAGATATAGATATAAGCATTGGCCTTGCACGTGATCTTGTTCAGGTAAATTCTATACGCACTATGCTGTTGTTTGATGCTACTCACTTTGGGTTACGCCGAAGTGGTCCTTCTCCGCATTTGCTCAATAAATCTGTATTTTTACTAACAATCATCCTTTCCATATGACCAAGCCATCGAATCGACCCCTTTTGTAACCTAATCAGTATTTGATCTTCCAACGTCACAACGCTCTCATGGCAAGTTAATGTAGATTATCAAAAGTGTTTCCCTTATCCTTATGTTTACCTTATCATACACGTAACATACCAAAGCGGGGCGAGGTTGAGGGGCGGGGAGGGCGCTCAATCGCATTTTTGTTGCCATATTCATTTCGTGTTAATATTTAAAAAAATATATTCACTTTGAAATTTTAGTATTTCACGTCGCTTTGCTGTCTTTCCTATCTACTAAAAAATATCAGTTCTACTACTAACTAAGCATTGTAGTAATGATTGTATGTACGTATAAATAGCATACAGGCATCCTACCGCTGTAGGACTTGGTGGAAAAGTATTTCAAATATTGCAGATATTTTGTTTCATGGATACATTATTTTCTTTTTAAAAGTAATTAAGTAATATTGCATTCAAAGACTTAAAAGTTGCTTGACACATCTGTGAGGGAATCGAACCGATCAAGAACGAAGTACTTTAAGTAGACTCTAGACTCGTTCTCGTTGAATATCGAGTATTAGGCAAGAGAGGACTATACAGTAGGCCTCTCTTGCCTAATACTACTAATAAATAATTAGGTACAATGTTGCCCTTTATTTGTTGATGATATCATAGGTGCTGAACGAGAAAGTGCACCCCCCCAAAGAAGTCCCTCTAACCGAAGTGGAACATAGGGGCGACGACGACAGCCTTATGAAACCCGTCGAACAAGAGGTGGTGGATAGGTTCTATAACAGCACGGAGAAGGGTGGCGATTTCGCCTACTTAAAAGAGAGAAATAAAAAGTCACCTGAAGAAAAGTTAGTTCTATAGGCACTGCACAAACGTAGACACTTTTGGTTATCAACAGAGGGTATCGTGATTGTTGTCGCCAGTTGCTACTTCTGGACAATTGGACCAATAACAGAGAACTGCTAGTCGCGTTACAAGCAAGTTGCAAGCAGTAGAGCTCCTTGTAAAAGAGTTCAAAAGGGAAGTATTGCTACCTTACCTATTTCTGCCGCCAAGCAGTAATGTTAGCATTACTGTGTTCCGGTTTTGAAGGGTAAGTGTGCTGGTGAAATTACAGGCACATGGGACTTACAACTTATATCTCAGGGTGACGGGCGCAGTGGCAGTGCCCCTCAGACCTTTGTGCGATTTGAAGCTCTGAGTGGCACTGCAACTGTTATAGACAGGCGTGTAGCTTACCATCGGGCGCACGACTTGTTCGTCCCGTCACATGATATTATAAAAAAATACAAGACAGCGCGGCGTAGTCGAGTATTTAATACCTATAGGTGTACCAGTTATCGCGACGAGTACCAAAGAGCTATTGTTTATTTTACATTGATGAACTGCAATTTATCAAAGCTCCTCTAATTTCGGGTGATAACAAACAAATCAACTAGATGACGCTTATTGTACAGATTTTTGAAAGGTAGTGGCGGCCATTCTTTTATTTTGTTTAGTATTAGCGCCATTCTACGCATATTAGAAATCGTTAATTTATAAATTAGTTACATTTTTATTGAATTGATATTCAATTATTTTTTGTTACATTACTCCACCAGTTTGATATAATAATTAGTTATATAATAAGTGATTTCACAAAATACTATTGAATATCAATTCAATAAAAAATTCATTACAGTTAATCGCGAAATCTCTAGCCAGGGCTGGTAGCTGTAAAGGTACCTATCTGAGTGACGAAATACTTTCATAGATTTCTTATAGATGGCGCTACGGTTAAAAAGTCGTTGAAAACCAAATACAAAGATTCGACACCTAGCACATACGTAGAAAAATTCGTAAAGTCCGCTGGTTCGTTCCCTGGCTTAGTTGGTATAGCGTCTGACACGGTTTGCTATGAGACGTCGGTTCGAATGCGGCCGGATTGCAGTAATTATTTCTAAGTTTTCGATCTTTGTACTAATAATTATAAATTATAATACACAATACCATCTCACACCCCTCATCGAAGAATGGCATAAGTGAAGTTACGTCAAACACGTTTATTGCTCCATTAGCCACAGAAAAATATAACCTACATCTTCTCCAATTCTTGTAGCTCTATCGACTATTATTGTAGATACAGTTACAAGAATTGGAGAGGATGTGGGTTGTATTTTTCTGTATCTAATGCAATAAACATAGCAAAGAGCAATAAACATGTTTTACATAACTCCACTTATGCCATTCTTCCATGACACGCATATTTGTCGAAGTTCACAAAACAATTTTAGCTCATGATCAATATTTGAATAATATTACAAGGTAAAAAACTGACTTAATAAATAAATAAGACGGATTTTTTACCTTTCTCAGAGTTACGATCTGCGTCCTGATTTTGATTCAAAACGGAATCGTCCGATCGGGTAGTCTCGAAATCAGATGGGTTTCTGAGCGAGAAGATGAACCTAATTCCTACTATATCTTTCTAATTTGTGAGTTAAATCAACTATTGTTTAGGTTTGAAATGTCAAAGTTTCCGATCGGCCAGTTGTGAATCGCAATTATGCGCCTCGACTCGGAAAAGACGCAGTTTCCGATCGAGAGAGGCAATCAAAATCAAGCTGCTGTAGTATAGATATTAGCAGTCCTCTTGTGTTATTGGTCCATGACCCTATAGTAACAGTTCGCTGTTAAATTTCCGAGTGTTCCGTCAGTGTCACGAAGGATATCGATGAATAAACACTTTGATTGTTGTCCTAACTATACGTCGATGCAGACGTCATAGCACAACGTCCACAGCAGTTTCTAGTTGCTTACTTGGGAAACTTTTTTATTGGTAATCGGCGTGTGTCAAATGGAAACAACGGGAAGCAGCAGTGTCCGTGTCTGCACACATAGTAATCGATTTCATGTGAATTTATATGAAAATATAATATTCATTACTATATGTTGCTTGCCTAACACAAGACACTAAAACGTCTACGATTGTGCGGAGCCTTCCTTCCTTCTATGGATTTAATCCTTACTATGGATTTGATAAAGTTAACAACATTGAAAAGCAGATTAATCTGACACCAATATTGGCTGTTTCCCTACCAAGGTAACTGTAAACTAAGCTCCGGTAAGCATTTCTTAGAAACAATTCGAATTCATACATATTTTACCAGATTCCCATTCATATGAAATTTTACATTTATGCGAAAACGTATTACGCCTACGCCTGGGCGTTTCAGAACAGATTGAAATAATTAACTATTGAATGTTGTGTCACCACCTTTATTGCGAGTATTTTTAAATTATAACAATGATATTAGTGGGGGTACTGAACTGTAAAAACCCATTATTCTGAACGAGCTCACTCTTCGGCCGAGCGTTGGGCAATCAATAACCAGTCGGTGCACCCTAGAGAGGCGAAACGTTTGTGACTAGCGGAAAAAGGGTGGCAAAATTTGTTACTTTAAAAAATATTTAACAGGAGCGCTATTTTGCGCGATTTAGGACCTTAACAGTGCAACACAGGCTGTCCACGAGCGGACGAAGTGTGTCGTGGATAAATTGAATGGTTCTCCGCGGCGAGTACGCCCCCATCACACTGAATGTGCTTTATAGGCATAATAGGTACATTTTACTGTTGATCGCGAAAGTATATTTCAGGTCATTCGCGCCGCAGTCCGCACTGGTAAGGGACTTAATCTTGACTGCGATTTACTTTCATTTAATAAAACTGTATCAGTTTTGGATTCAGCTCGAATTCAAAAAATATCGAAAATCAATTCATTTTGCTGGGTCGAGCGGCGTTCTATTTAGTTCAGTTGATATAAAAAAAACAGACCTCAAAAATCATTCCTTCCCTAGTTTGACGCCCTTAGAGGTGGAATATTTGCTTAAATTTTAAGTGGGACCACTACTGAGGTAC